TAGTTATTTTATTGTAGCATACTATTTCTTAAATTTTTGTCATGGACTTAAGGGTTGCTTTCAGAAACAGATTAAAAAAATTTATTTGTTACCAGCCCAAATGAAATAGCCTATTATATAATTTAAAATAAAACCTAACTGGCTTGGTCTACGTCTTAAATCTCTGACCCCAAGTACAGCTTCATGCATGAAATAGTTTTGAATTTAAGTATTTTATAATGATAAATAAACACATTAAAAATTCCTACTGAAATCCTAAGAATTTTGTAACTTAACAACATATATGGCCCTTTAGAACTCAGCGTAATCTAGAAGAGGCAGATAGGATGAAGACTCTTAGGAAAATTAATTGGCATATAACATCCATCATTAATTCAAAAAACACAATACTATACTTTTTGTATGTTCCTGTCATTGTTCTCACCTCATAACTGGTAACCTGAATATCACAGAGGCAGTGGTGAAGAGATTTCTTGAGTTTACTATTTTATTCAGAGGCCTTGCTTCATTTGAAGTTCATGCCAGACTTCTCAGCATCATTATTTTGCAAGAATGTTAACATCTGAATTTTACATATGAGGGCCAGGATCTTCCCAGTGGGATATGGAAACAGGAAAGACTTCCTAATACAAATAACTGGGAACAAGAGAAATTATGCAAGTGCATGGATGGTCAAGGCTATTCTACAATAGCAGATTGTGATAGGTCTCTCCCCCTCCAAATATTCCAGTTCTAATTTCTGGAACCTGTGAATGTTGCTTTACTAAACCAAACAGGGCTTTGAAGACATGAATAAGGAGCTTGAGATGGGAGATTATCTGGGTGGCCCCTAAATGCAGTCACAAGACGAGGAGAAAGAAGGCAGTATGTTTACAGACGCAGAGAGTGGACTGACACGACCATAAGCCAACAAATGCTGGTAGCCTCCAGAAGCTGGGAGAGACAAGGAATGGATTCTCCTCTAGAGCCTCCAGAGGAAGCATGGGCTGGCTCATACCTCAGTGATACTGACTTTGGACTTCTGGTCTCCAGGATTGTGCAAGAATACATTTCTGTTGTTTTAAGATGCTAAGTTTGTGGTAATTTATTACAACAGCCATAGGAAAACTAATACAGATTTTACAACCTGGAAGTGGGGAATTACTGTAACAAATACCTAAAAGTGAAAGTGGCTTTGGAATTGGTTAAGGAACAGAAGGTGGAAGAATTTGAAAACACATAATAGAAAAAGTCTGGATAGAACAGACTGTTGGTAGAAATACAGATGCTAAAGACTCTGTCAGTGAGGACTCAGGAAAAAGTGAGGAGTACAGTAGAACAAGCCTATATTGTTAAGAATGTCTAAAACCATTGTATTTTTTAAAATATTTTAATTATTATTTTAAAAGATTTTATTTATTTATTTTTAGAGAAAGGGAGGGAGAAAGAGGGAAGCATCAGTGTGTGGTTGCCTCTCACACTCCTTCTACTGGGGGCATGGCCTGCAACTCAGGCATGTGCCCTGGCTGGGAATCAAACCTGCGGACCCTTTGGTTCTCAGACTGGCACTCAATCGACTGAGCCACACCAACCAGGGCAAAAACCATTGTATTTTGGAAGCAGATAACACAGGCCCACAAATGGAGAGAAATTTTGCCTCAGTGTGGGTGATAAACAGAATCTTTCCCATATCTGATTTAGATGATTAGATTTGGGGCTTTTAAGCTGATGAGATGTAGATGAGGTTTTGGATTTTGAGTTGATGCTGAACGGGTTAAGACTTAGAGGACACTGGGATATGGTATATGTATTTTGAATGTGGGAAGAACATGAATCTTGGGGTCCAGAACGTGGACTGTGATAGGCTGAATAATGCCCTTCCCTCAAAATGATATGCATGTCCTCATCCCTAAAACCTAATTGTTATCTTTTATGGAAAAATAAAAAAGACTTTGAAGATGTGACTAAGTTAAGGATCATGAGATGGAGAAATTATTCTTTATCATATAAATGAGCCCTAACTCCAAACACAAATGTCCTTATAAGAATGAGGCAGAGGGAAATAAGACAGAAGAGAAAGCAGCATGACCACAGAGGCAGAGAACAGAGCGAAGCATCCATAAGCCAGTAAATGCCCGCAGCTGCCAGAAGCGGGAGGGGGCAAGGAGCATATTCACCCTTCAGCCCCGGGAGGGAGTGCAGCCTGGCTGACACCTTGATTTTGGCCCAGTGATACTGAATTTGGACTCCTTGAGTACAGAAGTGTGAAAAGATAAACTTTTATTGTCTTAAGTGGCTAAAGGTGTGGTAATTAGTTGCCGCAGCTACAGAAACCTAATACAGATATGGAGAAGAATCAAATCATTTCCCCTACCTGTATTCTTATCTGTATTATCTGTATTCCCCTACTCTTGTATTCTCTTAGAACATGAGATGGCTTTATGATTACTGTTAAATTTCTGTGGCTATCAGGCTTTTATATTACGAATTTTACCATTCCTATTTTAAAACGCTCACCTTTTATTTTAAGCATGATGGTATTATATAAGTTGAAAATGCTTGTAAACAAACAGAAGACTTGACTTCTACTCTCAGCTCTGCTTCTTCCTTACTAGCTGGGTATCTTTGGGTAAATTACTATGCAATGCGAGTTTCAGTTGAACAGTGGAAATTATATGAACAGCTCTTCTTCACATAATTGTCATAAGTATTCTGTGTTGTAAGTACATATGAAAAATACCAGATAAATAATGTAAATTTAAGACTCCTTAATGCTCAACTATTAAGTGTGCTCTCCCTAACTATTCCGAAGTTATGATGAGCAGTTTTGACATGAATCACTGACCACATTAAGCATCGTCGCCCCCAAGCCCCCAAATTAGATGCTGGAAGTGAGTTTTTGGGTTCAAAATTTTGAATTCTTTAAAGCTCTTGATTCACATCGACAGACTTCTCTCCAGAAAGCCTGTACCACTTTACTCTCTCATTGGAAGCACACAAGTGCTCATTTTACTGCATTGCTACCTTAGAGAATTTTAAAAAAGTATTTTAAATGTTGTACCAACCTGATGAAAATTACTATTTGTATTTCTTCAACAAGGTTTGACTTTTTTTGGTATATTCCCTGACCATTTGTATTGTCCTTTAATGAATCACTTGCATTCTTTGTATTTCCATATAATTATTTGTCCTTTACCTTACTGATTTCTAGAAACCCAGTATTCTTAACTAAATTTTATGTTATTCTTTACCAGTTTGTTGTTTATTTTTGACTTCAGTTTATGACTTTTGATGACTTTTGTGTTCAGTATTTGCATGTAGTCAAATGCAGTGAACTTGTATTGTTTTCCTCCCTCCCTTCCTTCCTGGCCTCCCTTCTTCCCCTCCTGCTCCCTCCTTCCCTCTTGAAAGCCTTTCCCATTTGGCTGCTTTTATTGATTGTTTTAGGTAGGTATATTTGCTTTTAACTGACAGTAAAGCATAGTTGAGATCCAGGCACTTATCAAAAGACATAATCTCAAATTATCTCTTGCCAAGTTTTGTCAAAAATTTGAGTGGAAACAGTAATACTCAGAGATGATTGGCTGAAGGATATATTAAAGTTTATTTCTGGGGGAGGGTATGAGTGCAGCATAAAGACCTTTGCTTTGAGCCTGATAATTCCACCTTCTTTAATTTACTGTCCCTTTTCATTTTATTTTATGTATATGTAGAAATTGAAGCAGGGGAAACAGAAACCCAGGTGGTTTGTGCCTTATCATATCACCACTAACTAGCTCCTTTCCCTATATCATCCTCTCTGTCCGTATTATAAGGATAGTAATTCTACCCTTAATCAAATGCTAACTCAGTGCAGCCTAACATGCCTGACATTTTACATGCATTATCTCAACTAATTTCCACAACAACCATAGAGGATAGTAAATATTATTCTAATTTTACTAATGAAAAAAACAAATGCTTTGAGAAGTAAGTGACTTGCCCAGTATCATATAGGTTGAATTCGGAGGAATGGGATGTGAATTCAGACCCAGACCTTTCTGATTTCAGAACCCATTTCTTAACTGATATTCTTGGCCTGTGGACAGATGCACACAACCAGATACCTTCTTTCTTCCCACACCTGATTTTCTGAATGATGATGAGACTTGACATTTCTGTTCTCCCCTGTCATTGATACAGTGAGGAAGGCAAATGGACTGGATGAAGCAGAATAACACCATCCAAGATACTAAACTGAATAAATAGGATATTGAACTGAAAATATTTTGGGGAGGGCTTAGAACTTCTCTCATTCTTCCAGTGCTCCAATGGCATTTTGTGCTTGTTTCTCTAACTTCTGGCATCTTGTCTGTACTGTTCTCTGACCAATGGAAGATACTGTGAAAATTTCAGAGCAATCAAAGGCCAGAGACGAGTGGGTTGGTCTTAATCTGATAATTGTTACGAATGTCTCTTTCATAGTCTGTGATTGATGGCAGCCTGCTGTGGTGCATGTGTATCGAGCCTAGGGAGCTGCTTAAAACACCGGTAGTCTTTACTAACATTTGGGTGATTAATTATTACACCTCTGTTAAATTTTAAACAAAGTGAGAATTAGATCGATGGGAATGGTCCTTTTATTTTTTTCTTTGAAAAACTTGGGACAGTGACAGCATTCAATTTCCTAGTATTATTTTGCTCTTATTTCCTATCTACCAATTATTTAGAGCTCCAAGAGTCTGCAAAGGAAATAGGGAAATGTGCTGTAGCCTTTTTGGGGTAGGTGAGACTAAAGGTTAATGGACACATTTGAAAGCATGGACTGTCCTGTCCCTTCATCATATTCTGGGTGCCTACTCAGTGCCTGGCAGGATGCATTTTAGACAAGAAACTGCTTGGTGTGGCTCCAATGGGGGAAGAAGGAGAGTCAAGCAGGGAATAAAGTTTGGAATCAGGCTTGTAGGCAGGGCGATGGAGAAAGCACAGCTGTCCCTTTAAAATTGGCTCTAACAAAGGCTTGTTTTTGTAATTGTTTGCAGAAAGATTACCACTTTGAATATACAGAATGTGACAGCAGCGGCTCCAGGTGGAGAGTTGCCATTCCGAACTCTGCAGTGGACTGCTCTGGCCTGCCTGACCCAGTGAGAGGCAAAGAATGCAGTATGTCTGACTTTTTGACCATTCGTTTTCCTGATTAAACCATCCCCCCTTCATGTTAGCTCATGAAGTTCATTATAATGGATATAAGACCTTTGAAAAAATGAACATGTAGCATTAATGCTAGCTGGGCTAAGACATCCTTTTTAGCACTCTGTGCCCCTACGTCTGGAATCTGTAATGAGACACAGGAAGTATTAAAGGGTGTTTTATTTACTTATTTATTTAAAAAATCCAGTGTACTGTCTTTTTCTACTTTTTTAAATTAAAGTACGGTTGACATACCATACTGTATTAGTTTCGGGTGCACAATATAGTAATTCTACACTTACACACCTTATGAGGTAATCACCACGATTTGTCTGGTAACCATCTGTCACCATACAAAGTTACTACGAGATTATTGGTCATATTGCCTGTTGTACATTCCATCCCTGGAGCTTACGTATTTTATAACCGAAAGTTTGTGCCTCTTAATTTTCTGTACCTTTTCCACCCATCCTCCTACACCCTGCCTCCTGGCAACCATCACTTTGTTCTCTGTATCTATGACTCTGTTTCTGTTTTGTTTTGTTTTTCATTTTTTTGTTTTTTAGATTCCACATATAAATGAAATCATATTATGGTTGTCTTTCTCTGACTTAGTTGTTGGTGAGGATGTAGGGCTATGGTATATTGTTTATGTGAAATTCTGGAGGGTAGAGTGGCAGAATATCTCTTTAATAGATTTCTGTTTTTAATTTAAATTTCTAAAATGTTTTAAAATTTTTGGTAAAATACACGTAATGAAAAATTTATCATCTTAACCATTTTTAAGTGTGCGGTTCACTGGCATTAAATACATTTACCAACATCTATCCACAGAACACTTGCATCTAGCAATGGATTTCTTGTTTTTAGCCATAGAAATAATGTAACTTACCATTTTAGTGTGAGCCTCATAGAAACTGTAGAATTGATGACTCTCAGATTCAATAGCTTGTCTTTTAGCAATTAAGCAGGTTGGAAGTGCAACATTATGACTTAACAGAGAAATATGTCATTATATTTATTTTCACTTTTAAGCTCTACTTTTTCAATCCTTTGACTTGGTGAGTCACAGGTTCTTGCAGTCAAATAGTCTAGGGGTAGACTGGAGTTCAAAACTGGAAGTAAGACAAAGGGGTTATTTTGGTTTTTCTACAGTCTTCCAAATGGTATTCCTAAAAGCTTAGTTCTTCTGTTCCCAGATGAAAGAGCCAATAAGCAAGTGGTTAAATAATAGTTCATTCCTTCCTGTTCATAGAGAATGTGTCTCTGTTCCTGGCTGGAGGTGTATGAGCATGGGTGGTGGGTTTAGTGAAAAAAGGGAAGTGGGAAGATGCAGTGGTCTTGGGAAGAAAACCATTAGTTCCTGGTGACTGATATTAAATGAATACAGAGAGGGCCTGAGAACCCCTGTCCATGTGAAGAGTTTAGGCTGCAAGGCTCCTAAGAGGAGAGTGGGGTCAGCGCAGAAGCAAGACCAGGGTGTATGCAGCCACTTGCGCAGAGAGGATCCGCCCTGTGAGGAAGGGTTGTGAATCATACCTATAGCATTAGCTCATTGTAAAATTGCTTCGATCACCTTCCTAGAAAATTTGTATAATGTTTATCTATATTTATCTTTTACTTGTGAGCCAGTTCCTTGGTTCCCATGTACAATAAATTACCGCGATGAGGTGAACTACCTAACCATTATAAATACTATCCATAACTAGGTGATGTGTTGGTGCTGGCTTTTGAGAGCTGGTGTTAGTTTGAAATGGGTCATGGTTGGGTGTTTTACACCATGGAAATTGGCAAACACTACAAATCCATTCCCTTGGGAGCTGGTTATTAAACATTTACCAGCACACCACTGATTAAATTTATTGGCTAGGTGTTAAAAAACCTGTTACACAATTGGTGCATGAAAAGACATTATTTCTATTGGAATGTTGCCAGGGACATTCTTTGCTCATTATTTACTGTAATCTCCCATAGTTGATATTATGAGTCTGACAGCCCAGCAAAGATTTTTTCTAAAAACTCTAATAATCAAGTCACTATTAGTTATTACTTTAAAAATGATACTGCTTACTTTAAAAATTAAACCCTAAACATGACCATACTTATGTGATAAATGGGCCATTTTTTAGCTTGGCATTTTGTCTGATATCTGAATTTGCAAGTATAGCATCTGGCACAAATCATGCCTCTTTTTAATTACACAATCTTTTATTACAAAACCATAAGCATGTAATTCTGTAACATAATAATATCACACTCAAGTACACCATATGACATTTTTAGGTGAAATGTTCAAATTAAAACTATGAATTATTATACCCATATTATTGCCCTACCAACCACACTCTAGCAGGCGTTACTCCTGTGGATGCTGGGTTTTTGCATGTATACTTATATTGCTCTGGAAGCCGTGGCCTCTGATCAGTGATTTTTTCTTTGTATAGTAAAGGCAAGTTATTTTAAAACTCATAAGAAACTTAATAGATCTAAATAACTCAGAAGCTCAGCTAATACATAACATTAAACACCGCACTTACCGCATTACTAGTCATTAAAGTACTGCTGGAAGGCAGTTATAGTAATAACTGAACATTTCTTCAGTGGCTTAGATTTCTACTGCTAATAGTAGCTACCATTTCTCATGTAATGATAATGAGCTAAACATTGTGCCTAGAGCTTTCTAACATTATCCTACTGTACCCTCACTACACTCCTCTCAGGTAGCTACTATCAGTGTTTCCCTGTAACTGATGAGAAAACTCAGTGGGAACGTGACAGAGCTCAGATTTAAATACAGACCTGTCTGATTCCAGAGCCTGTCTCTTGCTCACTGAGTTAGATAAACACAGGAAGATGACGACCGGAGGAGCTCCTAGAGTCCCACGTGGGGACGTAAAGCTCTGTAGGTAGACCTCTTTAAGGGGAGATATTAGAAATTCTTGGGCTTTGAGGATAAAAGAAGGTAGATGTCTTGTTGCTGGGGAATGGCATGCTACATGAAAGCCATTATGTGGGAGATGCCAAGACCTTCCTTGGCTGGTGGGTGAGGCCTCACTGTGCTAGACTCAGCAGTTACGCCGTGGTTATGTGGCTCAGCAGTTGGGCCATATAAAAGAAAATTTAAAAAAATGGATTGTGGCAACTTTAAGTGAAAACTATTTAGGGCAATGGTTGTATGGGACATATCTTCGCCAGATTCTAATGTCTCTCAATGAAGTCAAACCCAGAATTCGGCCTCAGTTGGAATTGCTATAGATTCATCAAAATATAGTTGGGTAGAAGCAGTGAGAAGGGCTTTCCTTAGGAAAGGAATTATAGGAATGTTCATGCAGCCATTTGAATATTTTTTGGAAACTTGGTGAGCAACTTATATTGTACCTTTATTTTAAAAAAGTCATAAAATTTGGCTGAAGGCTACTCTGAGTACAGTTAATGAGAAGTCAGGTATCAGTTTTTGTTGTGCTAGATCCTGGGGTGTATATGAGTTCGAAGCCCACAGGCTCACGATATGGGATAGAGACTTCTGTTTATTAACTGACACTGGTTCCCATGGTCCTCCTGTCCCCTTTGCTGTGCAGAGCTCCTCAGTCTCACACACAGTGCTGCTCTGGGCCGGCCACTGAGATAACTCCATCTTTCTCCTCTGTGCTGCTACCGGCTTACCTACCAGGAACTTCACTGGTCCTAAGTCTGGTTTCTGTGGGCTTCACCTGCCATTTGAAGTCATGGGATCTCTCAGGCACAGTGAGCAAGTAGCATGCCTTTCCTGAGCTGCAATGCTCCTTGTCCTTTTCCGGAACAAGGGGATATAAGCCCTGTCGCAATTCCATCCCTTCTCCAGTGTTGGGTCACTTCCGTCTTGCGTAAGAGTTTTTCAAGTCTTTCCTTGACCCGCTATGGTCGCCTTGACATTCTCACGTCATCAAAACAGTAATCATTCTGAAATTCTTTCTCTCCCCCTATTTCTCTTCCCTCTCTCTCTCTCCCCCTTTCCTTCCACCTGTCTTTCTCTTTCTGTCTCCCACCACCCGGCTCCCCTCACACACTAGAGAAAAAGACGTTTTGTTTCAAACCAAACCTTAGAAATAAAAGGCTGACTGCTAGGAGTGGGGAGAGAATTCCTTTTTGTATTTCCTTATATATTTGCAGACAAATCTAGAACACTGAGGGGGAAATAAACAGAAGATAATCTCTTCCTGTTGGGAGTATGTATCTTCTCAGGCTGACTCCTTTAAACATTTCTCAGTCTATTACTTCAAGTACAATCTTAACACATTTTCTAAATGGGGATGTGTAGTTAGTTGGAATTCCATGTCAGCATCAAATCAGTCATAGTTTGTGGACATTGTTTATTCTTATACTTCAATATTTATATGAACTTCTCATGTTTGTTTTTCTTGGATCAAAAAAATTTGATACTAAGATTAGGAAAAAACCTTAAATAAGCTATTTTTCTTTTTTAATTGTTTCTCTAAAATCTATTGTTTTAACCCACATTCAATGCATCTTAAGGACTGAGAGTAAAGAGTGATAGTTTAAATCAATAGATTTTTGGTTTTAGTTTGGAATTTAAAGAGGAGGAATTCTCATGGAAAGAGCATTGGTTTTAGCTTTTTGGGTGGGATACTTAAAAATATAATTCTTAGGATCATAACTCTTGCAAACGTAGGCTTTTCCCCAGGAGTCAGTACATAGTTTGTCTCATTTGTGTTAGGATTTGTACAGTAGCAGATGCAGTTGGCAACTTGAGCACATTGGCCCTGAATGGCAATCAAATGTCACACTCTTAAGTCTGTCCTGTGGAATAATTCCAAACACAAAACGTGTGTCAGGTTTTCTGTGGCAAAATACCAGTAAGTTTGGAAAATAGTGAACAATGTATTTTCTTCGTGGAGGGATGCAGTGCACATTTTCAAATTAAAATCTCTGAGAAATTTAATAAACTTTTATAGAACAGTCATTTTATATTAACT